AGGATGGAGGGAAGGAGGGAGGAAGGAAGGAAAGATGGAAGGAAGGAAGGAAGGGGGCAAAGGAAGGATGGAAGGAAGGGAAGGAGGAAGGTAGGAAAAAGAGAAAGAAGGAAGGGAGGAAGAGAAGGAAAGAAGGAAGGAAGAGAAGGAGGAAGGAAGGAAAGATAAGGGAAGGAAGCAAGGAAGGACTGAAGGAAGGGTGGAAGGAAGGATGGAAGGAAGGAAGGAAGGAAGGAAGGAAGGAAGGAAGGAAGGAAGGGAAGGAGTAAGAGAAGGAGGGAGGGAAGGAAGGGAAGGAGGAAGGAAAGAGAAGAGGAAGGAAGGATGAAAGGGTGGAAGGGAATGGAGGGAGGGAGAAAGAGGGAGGGAAGGAAGGAAGGAAAGTGAAGAAAGGAAGAAAGAAAGAGGGAGAGGAAAGGAGAGAGGAAAGAGGGAAGGAAAGATAAAAGGGAGGAAGGGAAGGAGGGAGAACAAGGAAGGGAGGGAGAGAGGAAAGAGAGAAGGAAGGAAGCATGGCAAGAGATAGGAGGGCCTGAGAAAAGAGCCCAAGGGGCCGCATCTGGGTTTGCTGATATCTGGTGTAGATGCACCCCTTGTAAAGTTACAACTCCCAGGATTCCATAGCATTGCTTTATGGCAGGCGCAGGCAAACTTGGGCCCTCCAGGTGTTTTGGACTTCAACTCCCATAATTCCTAACAGCCTACCGGCTGTTAGGAATTATGGGAGTTGAAGTCCAAAACACCTGGAGGGCTGAAGTTTGGGGTATCAAACTGTATTAATTCTACAGTGTGGAGGAACTCCTTGCAAAACTACAACTCCTAGAATTCCATAGTATTTAGCCGTAGCAGCTGAAGGACTATCAATCTGTATTAATTCTACAGTGTGGATAGACCCCCTTGTAAAACTGCAACTCCCAAGATTCTTTAGCATTGAGCCACCACAGCTAAAGGGGTGTCAAGCTGCAATAATTCCGCAGTGTAGATGCATCCCTCCCCTTGTCTTCTCCATTCAACGCATCCTACATTGCAAAGGGAAATCAAGCACGATCTGCCTCACCTGAGTCCTTTGAGACATCCCTTTCAGGCCTCCACCTTCATCATCCCACTGTTTGTTTATTTATGTATGTACTTATTTGGATCCATCTTTGCCGGCCTTCCGTATTCTCCGGCTGGATTACACAATCGGAATTAAAACCGGCGAAATCATGCGCTGCTACCAAGAGAAAGAATTTGCAGCGGTCAGATAAAACCCGGCAGTGAAGAAAACCCACGTCCGCCGAGACAATGGAAAAAACTTGGTCAAATAGTAATTTAAAAAGCTCGTTGCCTCCCCGCGGAACAATTAGCATAAGCTGTCGCAAGGGAGCTTCAACCAAGGGGGGGATCGTTATTAAAATGCCACTAACTTCCCCCCTGAAAAAGCTCTTATTATTATTATGACGGCAGGCATAAAGCTATGACTTCAACTTGTGTCCACACTGCATAGTTATAACACTTTGATTCCACTTTTATGTCCCTCTAGGCCTTTGGGATTTATAGTTTGATGGCTTCTCTAATCAACTTTTCTAAGCACTGGAGAGATAGGGTGGATTATAAATATATTATTATTATTATTATTATTATTATTATCTATATAAATAAAAATGTAATGTTCGTTTGTGGGATTAACGGAACTCAAAAACCACTGGGGGGATTGACACCAGATTTGGACACAAGACACCTACTAACCCAATGTATGTCCTTCACTCAAAAAAATTGATTTTGTCATTTGGGAGTTGTAGTTGCTGGGATTTATAGTTCATGTGCTGTCGCACGCTGGGCCTGTGCATAAGACTGTAGACAGGACATAAATTCTGTGTGCCCAACGGGACGCTGGGGCTGCCTCAGATTAAAGGCCCTTGGATTTCCTTAAAACAGAGTCTTTAGATTGCTTAAAGGTTCAACAAAGTTCTTTATTATTGAAAACAAACAGGTACTTTAATGCTTTCTTACGCATATATATACACAAAAAACAGTCTATTGGTTCTCTCTCAATCTTGTCCACGGGGAACAGGCACTATCTTCATAACTGTATACTAACTAATGGGGAAATCCTTAACTTCTAATCTGGGCAGTCTTTGCCTCTGTTGGTGTGGAGCCCCTGCACCCGGTACCAACTGCGCCTGGCTTCCACGAGAGACCCTTACCAAGCAGAGCTTTGTAAACTTCCAAGGGAAAAGGAGTTCAGGTTTCGGTGATGGCTGGCTGAAGTCCCTCAGCAAAGGAGCTGTAGGGCTGTATAATCCTTGGCCAAGCTACGGGACCTTTCTCCCTGGCCAAGCTGTAGGCTGCATAACCCTGGCCAAGCTGTAGGCTGTATATCTCCCCGGCCAAGCCGTAGAAGACGAAGCTTTCTACAGGAGCTCTTGGTTTCATGGCCTGTATGGAAAGCTGATCTGTGTGGACTGAACCAAAAAGGCTCCTATTCCCTCCAAAACCCCAAAAGGGGGGCGGGACCAGGGAACCTAACTATAATTGACAGGTGGCTTGCCCTATGATTGCAGCCAAAAGAAGCCACCTATCTGCAGAGTCTCTGAAACTTAGGACTACAACAAACATTAAATGCAAAGCAAACAAAATTGGAGCTCCTGGTACATTGGTACCTGCACAGTTCACCTACAATCAAAGAGCATTCTGAACCCCACCAACGATGGAATTGAACCAAACTTGGCACACAGTTCTCCCATGACCAACAGAAAATACTGGCAGAGTTTGCTGGGCAGTGCCCTTTGGTTTTGGAGTTGTAGTTCACTTACATCTAGAGATAACAGTGGACTCAAACAATGATGGATCTGGACCAAACTCTACACGAATACTCAATATGCCCAAATGTGAACACTGGTGGAGTTTGGGGGAAATAGAATCTTGACATTTGGGATTTGTAGTTGCTGGGATTTGTAGTTGACTTACAATCACAGAGCATTCTGAACTCCACCAACGCTAGAATTGGGCCAATCCTCCCACACAGAACCCCCATGTGGGCCACAGCAACGCGTGGCAGGGGACGGCTAGTTATCAATATCAATAAAAATATAATGTTCATTTGTGGGATTAACATACCTCAAAAACCACTGGATGACCTGACACCAAATCAGGCCAACGAGTGACCATCACTCATAAAAACACTGGAAACACCACTGCAGAAGGGACTTAAAAAGCCAAAAAAGCAAAAAAGACCCTACAGCACATGCGCAAAACGACTCCCCCGGCAAACAAGAAACACAATAGCATATCCAGACTCTCTTCTGGACTACAGCTCCCAGCATCCCTTAGACCAGGCCTTGAGGAGACGAGGATGATCCAAATGCTCTCCTTCCAAGATGCAAGCTTTCTTCTCCTTGGATTTCTTTGAGAGCATCCCAATCCCTGCATAGTTCCAATTTCCTATTCCTGGACTGCAACTCCCAGCAATCCTCCAGATAGATAGATTAGATAGAGATAGATAGGATAGATAGAGAAAGGTAGGTAGATAGATTGATCAGGAGGACTGCTGGGAGTTGCAATCCAAGAATAGGTAGAGAAGGAAGAAAGGGGAGAAAGAGGAAGGGAAAGAAAAGGTTGGGGAAGGAAGGGAAGAAGAAGAGAAGGAAGCAAGGAGAGAGAGAAAGAATGAAAAAAAGAAAGGAAAGAGGGAGGGAGGGAAGGAAGGAAGGAGAGAGAAGAAAAAAACGAAGGAGGAAGGAAGAAAGAGGGAGGGAAGGAAGGAAGGAAGGAAGGAAGGAAGGAAGGAAGGAAGGAAGGAAGGAAGGAAGGAGGAAAGAAAGAAAAAAGGAAGAAAGGAAAGAGGGAGGGAAGGAAGGAAGGAAGGAAGGAAGGAAGGAAGGAAGAGAAGGAAGGAAGGAAGGAAGGAAGGAAGGAAGGAGAGAAAGAAAGAAAGAAAGAGAGAAAGAGGGAGGGAAGGTTGGCCACAGCAACGTGTGGCGGGTACAGCTAGTATCTATATAAATAAAAATGTAATGTTCATTTGTGGGATTAACATAACTCAAAAACCACTGGACAAATTGACAACAAATTTTGACACAATACACCTGTCAGGCCAATGAGTGACCATCACTCATAAAAACACTGAAAAACACAGCAGAAGAGACTTAAAAAGCCAAGAAAGCAAAAAGACACTATAGCACATGCGCAAAAATGACTCTCCCTGGCAAGCAAAACACACAAAAAGACATTACAATGCATGCACAAAACCACATATACAAAATCACTCATGTATACACATATATACACACATATACGCATATATATACACAAAAAACACATAGATTGAGCCACAGCAATGCGTGGCAGGGGACGGCTAGTTTCTGATAAATAACTACTGAAACTGTGAATCCCAAGATTGCATGAGACAGTACTATGGCAGTTAAAGTGGAATCAAAGTGGTCTAATTGTACCAGAGTGATTTCTTTCAAAGACCTATCTATCTACACTGCGGAATTGATGCCCTTTGACACCACTTTAATTGCCATGGCTCAATGCTGTGGAGTCGTGGGAGTTGTAGTTTGGTAAGGCACTCGCATTTTTGGGCAGGGAAGGCTAAAGACCTTGTGAAACTGCAGCTCCCAGGATTCCGTAGCATTGAGCTATGATGGGTAAAGTGGCGTCAAACTTCAGTGTAGAAGATGCACCATATAATCTGCTTTGAAGTGGTTTAAATGAGTCTACACTGCCGTATAATCCAGTTCAAAGCAGATGATTTGGATTTTTTATGGCAGTGTAGAAGGGGCCTTAGGCTGGATCTACACAGCCATATAATCCTGTTCAAAGCAGATCGTGTGGATTCAGAAACTGGATTATATAGCAGTGTAGATGAGAGCCTTTGTCAAGAGATAAAAGGGAGTAACAACAATAACAACAACACCAATGTCCTAAAAGGGCCCAATGTATGCCTGTTCCCTCCTCCGCTGCAACGCATCCCATGCGAAAATCTCATTCCTCCCTGTTTCTCTCTTCTCCTGCAGCAACATCCGATGGGACCCAGGAAGGTCTGGAGAACATGAAAGGGGGAGCCTGCATCTCCAAAGGCATGAAAGTGGTCCTGAAAGTCGGGCAACGTAAGTTGGAACCACCTCTATCTTTCCTTTGGGATCCAAAGGTGCATCCACATTGGTGAATTAACGCAGTTTGACACCACTTCAACTGCCAGTACTGTGGAATTATAGGAGTTGTGGTTTGGTGAGGCTCCCGCACACTTTGGGAAAGAAAGCTAAAGACGTTGTGAACCTACAACTCCCTTGATTCCATATATGAAGCCATAATTGTTAAAGTGGTGTGAAAGTGGTGGACTTCGACTTCCACAATTCCTAACAGCGTCAGGCCCTTCCCTTTTCCCCTCAGCCACTTAAGAAGGAGAAAGGTTTCAGTCTGTGAGGTAGGCCTCAGTGTGAAGTAGGCCTCAGTGTGCATCATAGGTATAACCTTTATACTGGTACGTTACACATGAGACTTTACAAACGAGGCTTTGAACTTGGGGCTTCTTTCACCAAAGCTTCTCACACCAGGCCGTCCTCATACTCTGCCTTCTCATAGACGAAGACCTCCCTCACACTGAGACCTACCTCACAGACTGAGAACTTTCTCCCACTGAGGTTAACCTCAGACTTCTCAGGATGACAATAGTGCAATGGATTCAACTTCAGCCCTCCAGGTGTTTTGGACTCAGTCCCCGATTCACCTTCCACGGTGATGTGTTGGACTACAGTCTGGATTCAAAAACTGGATTATGCGGCAGGGTAGATCCAATCTCATATAATCTGATGTGGTATAATTTGTATTGTATGAGTCTACACCAGGTATGGGCCAACTTGGGCCCTCCCTCCAGGTGTTTTGGACTTCGACTCTCACAATTCCTAACAGCCTTGGGCATCTTCTTTTCCCTCTCAGCTGCTTAAGCACCTGAGGGCCCAAGTTGGCCCATGCCTGGTCTACACTGAATTTATCACACTAGTGTCATCCTGAGGAGTCTGAGGTAAACCTCAGTGGGAGAAAGGACTCAGTCTGTGAGGTAGGCCTCAGTGTGAGGGAGGCCTTAGTCTATGAGAAGGCCGAGTATGAGGAAGGCCTGGTGTGAGAAGCTTTTTACATATAGCAGCCTTTATACTGAAGCTTTACACGTGAGGCTTTACACACGAGGCCTTGAACTTGAGGCTTTTTTCACCAAAGCTTCTCACACTGGCCTTCCTCATACTCGGCCTTCTCATAAACTAAGGCTTACCTCACACTGAGGCCTACCTCACAGACAGAGACCTTTCTCCCACTGAGGTTTACCTCAGATTCCTCAGAATGACACTAGTGCGATAGATTCAGTGTAGACCAGGCATGGGCCAACTTTGGCCCTCTAGGTGTTTTGGACTTTGACTCCCACTTAAGCAGCTGAGGTGGAAAAGGAAGGGGCCTGGGGCTGTTAGGAATTGTGGGAATTGAAGTCCAAAACACCTGGAGGGAGGGCCCAAGTTTGCTCATGGCTGGTCTACACTGACCATTATAATACAGTTCAAACTGGCAGTGTAGATGGGGCTTTTGTCCAACACACAAATCAAAAAGTAGATGTCGAACACTTTTGCCCAATTAGAATATTAACTCTTCTACAATAGAAAGGGAAAACCTATGAGTGGCTGAGGTGGAAAAGGAAAGGGCCTGAGGCTGTTAGGAATTGTGGAAGTCAAAGTTCAAAACACCTGCAGGGCTGAAGCTAGCCCATGCCTGATCTACACTGAATCTATCGTACTAGTGTCATCCTGAGGAGTCTGAGGTAAACCTCAGTGGGAGAAAGGTCTCAGTCTGTGAGGTAGGCCTCAGTGTGAGGTAGGCCTTAGTCTATGAGAAGGCTGAATATGAGGAAGGCCTAGTATGAGAAGCTTTTTACGCATAGCAGTGAGCATAACACTGAGGCCTACCTCACAGTGAGGTAAACCTCAGTGGGAGAAAGGACTCGGTCTGTGAGGTCAGCCTCAGTGTGAGGTAGGCCTTCGTCTATGAGAACGCCGAGCATGAGGAAGGCCTGGTGTGAAAAGCTTCGATGAAAGAAGCCCCAGGTTGAAGGCCTTGAAGTTCACCAAGGAGATAGTTTTCCTCCCCAAATAACAAAGGACAGAAATAGAAATAAAGGGAATTCGAAGGCCAACTCTCCCATCTGGAGTGGCTTTTGTATTCAAGCGCTACCCAACGCCTCCGCACAAGAAGAAAGTTCTTTAAGGTGCCTCAAACCCTGTGGCCAGAAAACACGTCGATTTAAATAATTGTCGAGGGTGGAATTATATCATGTATTAAAATGCGCGTGTGGGCGGGGAGAGAAAACATTTGGCAGGCCTGGAGTTGTCGAGCACATGTCCGCGATAGGATCAGGAACATCACTCCCCAGCAAAAGGAACTTTTGGAGAGAGAGACATTCAACGTATTCCACCATGCCACCTAGAGGATAATGTATACAGAGCAATCACTTGGTTTCCAAAAGCCCTTTGGTCTTCCAGGTGCTTTGGACTTCAATTCCCAGATTTTCTCAACATTGGGGATTATGGGAAGTGAAGTTCCAAACACGCGGAAGACCAAAGTTTGGGAAATTAATGGCCATGCTTCACAACTAGTGCCACCTAGTGGCTGAAGGTGCAACTGTTTGGCCGAATGGGGGATTTTGGGAACCAGAGTCCAATAAAGTAACTTTTCCTAGCTCTCTGACTGCATTAGCGGCAGTGTAGATCCAATCCCATATAATCCAATGTGGTATAATTTGCATTATATGAGTCTACACCAGGAATGGGGCAACTTGGGCCCTCCCTCCAGGTGTTTTGGACTGATTCCCACAAAACACCTGGAGGGAGGGCCCAAGTTGGTCCATGCCTGGTCTACACTGAATTTATCACACGAATGTCATCCTGAGGAATCTGAGGTAAACCTCAGTGGGAGAAAGGTCTCAGGCCTCAGTGTGAGGTAGGCCTTAGTTTACACAGTTTACACAGACCCCTTCTACACTGATTATCAAGGCAGATAATCCACGTTATCCGCTTTGAACTGGATTATATGAGTCTACACTGCCATATAATCCAGTTCAAAGTAGATAATCTGGATTTTATTTGGCAGTGTAGAAGGGGCCCAAGTTTTTTAAATTTTCTTAGAACAGAAACTAGTTATTCTACAAGCGACGACAACCCAGCTCCCCATCACCTCTGTTCATTTTCCATATTGTCATTCCATATCCAGAATTAGTAGTATCCACCCACAGATTCTTTTAAACGTTGCCATAATAATCAGTGCCCCAAATCATGCATAATTCTGCATCACTGAAAGGCTGACCCATAACAGTGGGTGCATCTACACTGTAGACTTGATGCAGTTTGACATCGCTTTAACTGCCATGGCCCAATGTGATGGAATCCTGGGAATTGTAGTTTTACAATGCCTTTAGCCCAGGCATAGGCCAACTTTGGCCCTCCAGGTGTTTTGGACTTCAACTCCCAGGAGCCTCAGCTGCTTTGGATGATGATGACCAATTCTGGGAGATGAAGTCCAAAACATCTGGAAGACCAGAGGTTGGGAAACACTAGAATCATGGATGTAAACATTTGGGCGGAGGATCAAGATCAGGACCTTGGGCTGGACATCTTTGGTGGTCCAGATCAGGACATCTTTTCAGGTCAGTGTTCCAATTGGGAAGGGCCTGAGGCTGTTAGGAATTGTGGGAGTCGAAGTCCAAAATGCCTAGAGGGCCCAAGTTGGCCCATGCCTGGTCTATATTGAATTTATCACAGTAGTGTCATCCTGAGGAATCTGAGGCAAACCTCAGTGGGAGAAAGGTCTCAGTCTGTGAGGTAGGCCTCAGTGTTATGCTCACTGCTATGCGTAAAAAGCTTCTCATACTAGGCCTTCCTCATATTCAGCCTTCTCATAGACTAAGGCCTACCTCACACTGAGGCCTACCTCACAGACTGAGACCTTTCTCCCACTGAGGTTTACCTCAGACTCCTCAGGATGACACTAGAATCATAGAATCATAGAATCAAAGAGTTGGAAGAGACCTCATGGGCCATCCAGTCCAACCCCCTGCCAAGAAGCAGGAATATTGCATTCAAATCACCCCTGACAGATGGCCATCCAGCCTCTGTTTAAAAGCTTCCGAAGAAGGAGCCTCCACCACACTCCGGGGCAGAGAGTTCCACTGCTGAACGGCTCTCACAGTCAGGAAGTTCTTCCTCGTGTTCAGATGGAATCTCCTCTCTTGTAGTTTGATAAATTCAGTGTAGACCAGGCATGGGCCAACTTGGGCTCCCCAGGTGTTTTGGACTGCAATTCCCACAATTTCTAACAGCCTCAGGCCCCTTCCTTTTCCCCCTCAGCTGCTTAAGCAAACTTGGCATGGGCAAACTTGGGCCCTCCAGGTGTTTTGGACTTCGACTCCCACAATTCCTAACAGCCTCAGGTTGTTAGGAATTGTGGGAGTTGAAGTCCAGAACACCTGGAGGGCCAAAGTTGGCCCATTCCTGGTCTACACTGAATCTATCGCACTAGTGTCATCCTGAGGAGACTGAGGTAAACCTCAGTGGGAGAAAGGTCTCTGTCTGTGAGGTAGGCCTCAGTGTTATGCTCACTGCTATGCGTAAAAAGCTTCTCATACTAGGCCTTCCTCATATTCAGCCTTCTCATAGACTAAGGCCTACCTCACACTGAGGCCTACCTCACAGATTGAGACCTTTCTCCCACTGAGGTTTACCTCAGACTCCTCAGGATGACACTAGTGCAATAAATTCAGTGTAGACCAGGCATGGGCCAACTTCGCCCCCCCCCAGGTGTTTTGGACTGCGATTCCCACAATTTCTAACAGCCTCAGGCCCCTTCCTTTTCCCCCTCAGCCACTTAAGCAAACTTGGCCTGGGCCAACTTGGGCCCTCCAGGTGTTTTGGACTTCGACTCCCACAATTCCTAACCGTCTCAGCTTGTTAGGAATTGTGGGAGTTGAAGTCCAGAACACCTGGAGGGCCAAAGTTGGCCCATGCCTGGTCTACACTGAATCTATTGCACTAGTGTCATCCTGAGGAGTCTGAGGTAAACCTCAGTGGGAGAAAGGACTCAGTCTGTGAGGTAGGCCTCAGTGTTCCTTCACCACAAGGCCATGTGCCGGCCCTATATAAGACCGCCGCTCTCTCTTTGCCCTTGCCCCCCAGATCCCAACACAGGCTCCAAATCCCAGAAGTCCATGCCAGACTCACCTGCTGAGAAGGAGCGAGGGACGTCGGGCGGCGGAGAGCCCAACAAGGAGATGAACCCAGGTACGGCCCTTAAGAACATCCCTCCACTACCCCATAGCGACAAGTCCCCCCACCCCTAGTTTAGAGCAAGGATGGCTCAGCCCTGACCCTATCATGTAGTTTGAAGTCCATTGAACTGCATTATATGGTCAGGTCGAACCAGCCCGAGAATTAATGCATCTAATCTAGTTTTATTCCACTTTGACTGCCCATGCTCAATGCTATGAAATCCTGGGAGATGTAGTTCAGCAATGCACCAGCCTTCTTTGGCAGGGAAGGATAAAGACCTTGTGAAACTATGGACATATAAACTACACTGACATATAAGATCTAGACCAGTGATTCTCAACCTTCCTATTGCCGTAACCCCGTAATACGGTTCCTCATGTGGTGGTGACCCCCAACCATAACATTATTTTTGTTGCTACTTCATCATTGTAATTTTGCTATTGTTATGCACCACAAAAATATCTGATCTGCACCTCCCTAATGCCATGACTTCTTAACATAGTTCCTCATGTTGTGGTGACCCCCAACCATAACATTTTTTTTGCTACTTCATCACTAATTTTGCTATTGTTATGCATCACAACAATATCTGATCTGCACCTCCCTAATGCCATGACTTCTTAACATAGTTCCTCATGTTGTGCTGACCCCTAACCATAACATTATTTTCATTGCTACTTCATAACTGGAATTTTGCTACTGTTATGAATCATGATGTAAATATCTGATATGCAGGATGTATTTTCATTCACTGGTCCAAATTTGGCACAAATACACCATACACCCAAATTTGAATACTGGTGGGATGGGGGGATTGATTTTGTCATTTGGGAGTTGTAGTTGCTGGGATTTATAGTTCACCTATAATCAAAGAGCATTCTGAACTCCACCAATGATGGAATTGAACCAAACTTGGCACACAAAACTCCCATGACCAATAGGAAATACTGGAAGGGTTTGGTAGGCATTGACCTTGAGTTTTGGAGTTGTAGTTCACTTACATCCAGAGAGCAGTGTGGATTCAAACAATGATAGATCTGGACCAAACTTGGTAGAAATACTCAATATGCACAAATGTGAACACTGGTGGAGTTTGGGGAAAATACACCTTGAAATTTGGGGATTGCAGTTGCTGGGATTTGTAGTTCACCTACAATCAAAGAGCCCCTTGAACCCCACCAAGGATAGAATTGGGCCAAACTTCCCACTCAGAACTCCCGTGACCAACAGAAAATACTGCGTTTTTTGATGGTGTTTGGCAACCCCTCTGACACCCCTCTTGCCACCCCCCCCCCATGATTCCCGACCCCCAGGTTGAGAAATGCTGATCTACACTGTCAAATTTATGCAGTTTGACACCACTTTAGCTGACATGGCTCAATTGGTTTTATATTATCTAGTTTTGGGCACTATTTGAGTCTCTGTTAAGAGTAAAAGTGGCATATAAACAACAACTACAACAATACAAGGGATGCAGCTTTGAAATGGATTATCTGAGACTACACTGCCATATAATCCAGTTCAAAGCAGATAGTCTAGGGCTGATCTAGACTATCTGCTTTTAACTGGATTATGTGGCTGTGTAGACCCACAAAATCCAGTTCAAAACCAATAATCTGGATTATCTGATTTGATCATCCGCATGATACAGTAGAGTAGATCCATAGCACGGAGCTATCACAGTTAAAGTGATATTAAACTGCATTAGCAATAACTCAAACTCCACCCAAAGGTGCATCGTTTTTCCAAAGACCTCCCAATCCTTGACCATATTTCTGTTTTCTTCATCACATAACCACCATTCAAAGAGAGCCAGAGCTTGTAAAAGTTACTTTTTGGGAAGACCATTTCCATGAATTTGAGAGGTGGAGGGAAGCCTACATAAATACTCAGTCTTTTTCAATAAAGGAACTGGAAAAAGTGGGGTTACCAAGGTATTGTAAGTCAAAGAGTAGGCAAGGAGTGTTGGGAATTGGAGGTGTTAGGCTCAAAATAACCCTCACTTGGGATGATTCCACCATAAATATAGCAGAGTGCTAGAAGCAGACTTCATAACCAGTAGAAACTTACGTGTGGTGAGTCAGGATGAGCTTCCATTCAACAGGATGGCACAGGATTGAAGAGTCAGAACTTTAGGTTCAAAATATTAATTGAAGTAAGAAAGAAATCCTTTTAGATAGAAGAGGATCTTGGAGCTCACTAGCTTACTAAGCTCATCTTCTAAGGAAGGCAAAAGGATACAATATCAAAAGTATCCATGCAGCTACATTTTGCCTGGAGAAAGGCAAAATGCGTCCTCACTGGAAGGGAGACAAAGGCAGAGTGCGGGCAATTGAAAATGACAATATGACCAAAACCCAAGACAATAGAAATCCCTTTAAAGAGGAAGTGACCTCATCCCTCACAGAGATTCCATTGCTACATCTTCAAAGGAGGAAGGGGATAGTGGCAAGCAAGAAGAGTAAAGACAAAGCCCCGTCCGGGAGAAGCATGCACAGGAATGTGGGGAAAGGAATCACTCTCTCTAATCCTATATCTAAGTCTAGCTACTCTTTGAGGACTGGAGACTTGTGCAGTCCAGGGATGAAGCCCAACAAGGTGGTCACCAACTCAATGGATGCAAACCTGAGGCACCATAGAGTTGGAAGGCCATCCAGTCCAATCCCATTCTTCCATGCAGGAAGCCACAATCAGTACTTTCTTGGCAGATGGTCCTTTCTTGCATCACATTTTAGAGACCACTTCGGTCTTTCAAGTGGCTTCCCATCCCTGTTCTTCTCTCCTGTTTCCTGACCTGTCCAGCCCATAACCCATGAAAGAGACATAAGAGTAAGTAGCCACTTCTATAGGAGTTGATACAGAGGCTATTGAGTAGGGAGTCTTGCGTCCCTCATTTCTTGGTTCAGACCAGCAGGTCCAGATGGAGAAAGCTTTGTCGTCCTGTCTTCCTTCTCAGATAAGAGGAGCTGAGAGCAACTTCTCTCTCCCCTCCCTCCATGAACTGCCTAAGTTGAGCTTTATTGATCTTGATGGTTGAGCTGAACCCTGCCAAGCTGGGCCAGGGGAGGTATTGGGGAGGCAATTAGCTCCATTAACGAGAGTCGACAGGCACTAACGAGCACCTTCCTTGGCCAAGCTGGGATTGCTTTGCGGCTCGGAGACGGGGGCACCCAATGGGTTCATGGAGGGGGTGTCTTAATACCCTAAAATGGACAAATGGACCCCTTATAATATTCCAAATGGGGATGGAGGAGATATGCTGAGCTTGGTATCTCCTGCATGCAAAAAGTAGGTGGTTTGGAGCAAAATCCCATTTGTTTGATGCCCCTCCGCCTCCTTTCTGAATGGGCTTTTGCTCCAAACCGCCTACTTTTTGCATGCAGGAGCTACCAAGCTCAGCCTGATCCACATTGAAAGAGAAAGACCCACGATCTTCTGATGCTTCTCCTTACTGAGAGGAGGCAGCTTAGAAAGAGGACACTTTCTTGTAAGGTCCAGCTTACAACTAATGAACAGAGGCACAAACAAGAAAAGAGTCAAGATGTTCCAGCTCAACATTAGAGGAACAAGTTCCACCTAAATGTTAGTGAGAACTTCTTGACTGTAAGAACTTGAACAATAATGGAGTCTCTTTCTTTGGAAGTCATCAAGCAGAGGTTGGGTTAGACATCTCTTACCATCAAGAAGTCCTTCCCAAACTTTAGGAGGAATTTTGTGATAGTAAGAACTAGCAGAGTGGTAGGCTCTCCTCTTTTTAGAGGTCTTCAAGCAAACTTCTAACAGTCAAAGAGTTCCACATCTATGCGAGATCGAACTTCATGACTGTAAGAACTTGGAGGATGGTGGACTTTCTTTCTTTGGAGGTCTTCAAGCAGAGGTTGGGTTAGATATCACCTACAGTCAAAGAGTTCTACCTAAACATTAGTAAGAACCTCTTGACTGTAAGAACATGGAAAGTAGTGAATTTTCCTTCTTTGGAGACTTTTAAGTAAAAGGTTGAGTGTGCATCTCTTACCCTCAATAAGTTCTATCAAAACTTTAGGAGAAACTACTTAACAGTAAGAACTAGGAGAGCGGTGGACTCTCCATCTTTTAGAAGTCTTGAAGCAAACTTCTTACAGTCAGAGTGTTCCACCTCAATGTGAGATGGAACTTCATTACCATAAGAACTTGGAAGGTGGTAGACTTTTCTTCTTTGGAGGCCTTCAAGCAGAGGTTGGGTTAACTATCTCTTACAGTCAAAGAGTTCCACCTAAACATTAGCAAGAACCTCTTGACTGTAACAACATAGAGAGTAGTGAATTCCGCTTCTTTGGAGACCTTTAAGTAAAGGTTGGATGTGTATCTCTTACTGTCAAGAAGTTCTACCAAAATTTTAGGAGGAAGAAAATGTCACTCTCTAACTTGACACTTTCCAAAAGTCTTAGGCAAACAGTAAGAACTAGAAGAGTGGTGGACTCTCCTTCTTTTGGAGGTCTTCAAGCAATTTCTTACAGTCAAAAGAGTTCCACCTCGATGTGAGATGGAACTTCATGACTGTAAGAACTTGGAAGGTGGTGGACTCTCCATCTCTGGAGGTGTTCAAACAGAGGTTGGGTGACACATTTCTTACAGTCAAAGAGTTCCACCTTGATGTGAGATGGAACTTCATGTCTTTGAGAACTTTGAGAGTGGTATACCCTCCTTTGGAAGTCTTACAACGGAGGTTGGGTGGGCATCTCTCAGTTATATGTATTCTGGCATGATAGTGAGATCAGACTAGATGGACCTTGTTGTCCATTCTATTATCCTACCATTATCCTATCCTGTTGGGTGGCCTAAAATTCACACATTCAAACCATGATGAAGGTCAACCCATAAGACCAAAGTCATGACTTTATCTGATCTGAATATATCCTGTAAGTGGGGTACCTGTTCTTCTATGGTGGGCAACCCCTTCCCTCCAAACCCCTAGTATGTTAAGAAAAGCATTTAACTGAGACATCTCCTTGTTTTGCTCTATTTCTACTAGTAGGGAGATGTTTCTTTCTGTTCTGAGACCCATAAAAATACAATTCCCAGCTCCATCCTGAAGTAAACAGCCTTGATCTTGGCTTTAACCCAGAACCCATAAGATTGCTTTGCAACAATAATTTCTACTCCCCATGGTTTCATTTAAGGTGTGGAAAGAACTCTTGCTCTGCTTTTTTCACCTCTGTTCCTTTGTATTCTTTGAAAAGACCACATCTATACTATCATTACTAAACTGGTATAGAATAAAGTGCCTTTGTCGGGCAGATGATTACAGAGGTATTTTGGAATCAATTTGGGGCCCGAATGGTGATTACACAAACGATAGAGCGCAAATGCACATTATGGGCATACACTTTCATGAAGTTTGTTGTCTCTCCACTACAATCTGAAGCTAGCTTCAAACCCAGGCATGGGCCAACTTCGGTCCTCCCTCCAGGTGTTTTGGACTTCAACTCCCACAATTCCTAACAGCCTACCGGAGTTGAAGTCCAAAACACCTGGAGGGAGGACCGAAGTTGGCCCATGCCTATGCTAGGGGTAACCTTATTTGGGGCTGGGAAGTAGTGCTCTTTTCAACCATCTTCCCTTCTTCTTTCCCATATAACAGGACCCCCGACCGGAAACACTACGGGGAAAGTGGGGGGCGAGAATGGCCCCCTCCCACAGTCCAATGTGCCCATCATTGCGGGTGCCGCAGGAGGAGCCGCCTTCGTGTTGCTGGTTGCGGCGGCCGTGACGGGGGCCCTGTGCTACCGCCACCGCCGGGCCAAGCACAGCGAGTCCCACCACCCTCCGCTGTCGCTCAGCACCCTGACCAGCCCCAAGCGTGGCGGAGGTGGGGGCGGCGGGGGCAACAACAACGGCTCCGAGCCCAGCGACATCATCATCCCGCTCAGGACTTCAGACAGCGCCTTCTGCCCACACTACGAGAAAGTGAGCGGAGACTACGGGCACCCCGTCTACATCGTCCAAGAGATGCCCCCGCAGAGCCCCGCCAACATTTACTACAAAGTATGAGGTGGGGGAGGCACACGGACCGACGGACAGACGGGCGGGCGGCAGAGCTCCCTCTGGCCGCGTCTTCGATTCCCCCTCCCATAGACGAGGAGGGCGGATGGGACGCCGACCTCATGCCCCTCTCATTGTGCACAAGGGGTCAACGCACATTGGCCTGGGCCACCCTCGCCCACACAGGAGGGGTGACCCGAACTCGGACCCTCTTCTGCCAATGTAACGGAGGCGTGGACCTTTTGTACCGCTCAGTGGCCTTCCCCTTTCTATGGATTCTGGCCTGGCTAGGACAGATGGATGGACGGACGGATGGACAGAGGGATAGGACCCGAACCCGCTCCCTGTCAGACCAGAGTGAGCTTAATGGAGACAAATCCCCCTACCACTGGTTTCAAAAACAAACAAAAAAAGGGCTGTGCCCATCCTTTCCTTTCCACACTCTCCATCCCAAGTTAGTGGCTTTTACGGGAGTCCACCATGGTTGCTCTTCGTTTTGCTTTTAAGCGGTCATTTTGATTCAAAATCAAAACATAATCACACAGATGTACAAATTTGGGGTTATTTTCTTCTATGTGCCGAAGACCGTGTGTAAAGTTACTTATTAGATTTTAAAACAGTGGTTCCCAACCTTTTTTTAACAAATCAGGGACCACTTGGCTTTGACAATATTACGAATTAGGGTTACGAATCAGTTTTTGGTCAACTTTAGATTCGGTTTGGTTATTTGGGGTGCTGATTCAGGAAACGGCATTGGATAGACCACATCAGCTCTAGTTTCTGATACAGAACACATGCCATCCAGTAGTCGCCATCTGCTTGACCACAGAAAACATCTACACATGGTTACACATCTCTTACCATCAAGAAGTTCTACCTAAACTTTAGGATGAACTTCTTGATAGTAAAGACTAGAAGAGTGGTGGGTTCTCCTCTTTTTAGAGGTCTTCAAGCAAATTTCTTACAATGTGAGATGAAACTTCATGACATTAAGAACTTAGAGGGTGGTGGACTCTCCTCCTTTGGAGGTCTTCAAGTAGAGGTTGCATGGGCATCTCTTACAGTCAAGAAGTTCTACCTAAACTTGACCACAGAAAACCATATTTAATCATCTAGAGATGATGTGGTTGTAGTAATCTTTCGTGGGTAGTCAGCCTCTCCCCTTACAACATCCTCATTGCCTCGGCACCATAAGAGGGTTTCGCGAGACCAGTCGCTCTCGTTGCCGTGTGGTTTCGAGGCAACACGGTGAGGCCGTGGACCATATTTTCATTCTTGTGGACCACTGGTGGTCCATGGACCACAGGTTGGGAACCACTGGTCTAAAAGGAATGTAACTGGTCTAGAAGGAAACTGGGTAGTCAGCCTCTCCCCTCCCGGCATCTTCATTGCCTCGGCACCATAAGAGGGTTTCGCGAGACCAATCGCTCTCGTTGCCACATGGTTTCGAGACAACACGGTGAGGCCATGGGCCATATTTTCATTCTTGCGGACCACTGGTGGTCCATGGACCACAGGTTGGGAACCACTGGTCTAAAAGGAATGTAACTGGTCTAGAAGGAAACTGGGTAGTCAGCCTCTCCCCTCCCGACATCCTCATTGCTTTGGCACCATAAGAGGGTCTTGCAAGACCAGTCGCTCTCGTTGCCGTGTGGTTTTGAGGCAACACGGTGAGGCCATGGACCATATTTTCATTCTTGCGGACCACTGGTGGTCCATGGACCACAGATTGGGAACCGTTGGTCTAAAAGGAATGTAACTGGTCTAGAAAGAAACTCCCCAACCATTGAGTCCACCAATACGTACGAATGGCAAGAAAGGCCATTAAAGGCTACTCAATCTTATGTTCCCTTATGTTTCGGCACCCAGAATGAAAGCAAAGCTTCTGCTTTCTCCAGGAAGCTTACTTACCTATCTGTGCCCGTTCACTCAAATTAATTTAGGAGCCAAAATGGTGTTCTCAATCTTCACCCACCAATTTCCTTGCCAATCTGGACATTGGCTTTCTTGCTTTGTCAATGCCAAGACCTCGGTCCATGCTGGTGTGGTCAGAAATAGGACACACACAAAAAAAGGGTGGAAATGCCAAGGGGATGTGTGTTTAATGTTCTTTGTCTTTCAGAGCAAGGTTGACCCCTTCCATGTGCCTCTCAAACCTGACATTTCAAACTTGAAATTTGCTGAAGGGTTTACTCCAAAGCTTCACTATTGTGCCAACTTTAATTCGGGCTCCTTGGTCTTTCCCTTTCTCCTTATTAGTGGTATCTTCTCCTGGAAGGAGAGTCATCCCTGGTCGTCACATGGAAAGGCAGGTTCTCCATTGCTGGGTTTCCTCCTCTCCATCTAAGAACATTAATTCTGCCACAAAGGTGGCATGTGCCCATTTTTGTGGACCTCCTTCATCCCCTTGAATTAAATGGAAGGGTTGAAGGACCCAACGTTCTCCATCGTACCACCTCCATCCCCTCCTTGGGTGAGTTTTGGTTTCCTTGGTGGCCATCAACACTAGTCTTTAGCAATGATCCCTTTCGCCCTGTTACGTTGGGTACAACATGCCAGTGTTGACATCGGGGAGACTTTTTGGTGACCTGTTTTGGACTCAGATCTTTGGAAGGAGCTCACTTGTTTGTTTCTCCATTGTTGGGTCCCTTTCTTGTTTAGTTGCTAGAAGAAGAACGCCAAACAGAACGGCCGGCCTTCTCCATCTCATCCTCATCCGAAGACATGGGGGTGGAGACAATAAATGAGGATGTTTCATTTTTATTTTTATTTTATGTTCGCCCCATTCGGGGGAGACGTTTGTGACTGTGAATTCCTTACGTGGCCATGTCCGGTGGATTTTCGAGAAGCAGTTTGTATCATTCGTGACGTTTCGTGGAACGCGCCGGAAGAGGCGGGACGTCGTGTGTTAGACAGTGGGGGGGAAACGTGGCCAAGCTTTTCCTGCCTCGGCAGAAAAACAAAGAGCAAACAAAGGGGGGAAAATGTGGTCTATTTCAGCTTTAACGAAGGTTTCTTGGTTTTCTAATTTTTGTTTCTGTTCCGATCTGAGAGTTTTCTTAGCTTTGTTGGTGGAATTTTACTGTTGGACATTGTTGATTATAGAAGTTCTTGTGCAGTTTCCGGTCTGGACTTTTTATTTCTTATCGCTGTCCCCTTTAAAAAATAAAATTCAAATCCCTAATCATTATCAAGGCATCAAATCATCCTGGCGTCCCCTGGGCAACGTCCTTGCAGACAGCCAATTCTCTCATACCAGAAGAGACTTGCAGTTTCTCAGGTCGCTCCTGACATAACAAAAAAAAATCAAGGCAGACCTATAAAAGGAATTGTAGTTCTCTTAGAGTGGGCCTACACCAGGTATGGGCCAACTTGGACCCTCCAGGTGTTTTGGACTTCAACTCTTTTGAACAATTTTGTCTTCTCTGCTGGTGCCTCTCCAAACTATACTTTCCATGACATTGAGTCATGGCAGTTGAAGTGGTGCCAAACTGCATCAGTTTGACAATATAGATGCAGTCTTTCCCTGTTTGGGGATTTGGGTGACCAAGTGAGCTCACAGAATGCCTTAGGATGTCAAAACATGGGTGGGAATCCTCTTCTGGCATCAAGCCTCCCATATATTGGAGGGAGGACTAAGCCACACCAAAGGAGACTTCCCAGGATACATCTTTAGACATCACAAATTTCCACATTTGGCATCTCTTGCTCCCCCAGTGTCTTCTTTCCCCATCCCAGTTGGGCCCCCGAACCTTGCCATCTCTCCTCCGCCAATTCGCTCTCTCTCGCTTTCCCAAAATAACTTCTCAAGCCCTTGTCTCCTTCCAACAACTGACAAGGTATCTGGACGTGGCAGGAGACAGGCCCAGAACACATAGGTGGAGGGGGAAAGAGAGAGAGAGAGAGAGAAGGGCAATGCTGAGATGCAGAGGCTGCTGCCTGCACGGATTGGGGGTCTCCAAACCCGAACCTGTCACCGGTTGCCGCCCGCTTGATCTGAGCCAAGTTGAGTGTCAAGAGATTGTGCTCCTCGGAGAAGCGTGGCTGCTGGCGCGGCAGAAATCCTGGTCGGTCGCCTTCACTCTCACCCTGCAAATCCCCTGTTTATCAAAATGTGTGGCATGTTTGGGGTAGGGGGGGGGGGTGGGAGGCAGGAGGAGTCCATAATTAGATCCCTGGTACATGGGACAGACACAGCCCCGGGGAGGGGAGTGCATCTGCACACACTGTCACAACCCATCATGTAGGAAGCAAGGTTTGCTGATCCAACAACCGCCTGAGATCAGAAGGGGGGGGGGGGGGGGCGGCAGCCATGCAAGGCTGAGAGAAGGGGGGGCACAGGAGAGGCAAGACTGGCAGTTCTAGGGCAGGGATGGGGGAGCAACAGTGGCCAAGGCGTCTCAGAGAGGGACCCCCAGGGTCATCGAGACCATAAGAGCCATCCAGGCCAACTCCCTTATAGATGGATGAATAGATAGATAGATAGATAGATAGATAGATAGATAGATAGATAGATAGTAAGTATATTTCTGGAAGAGACGCAAGGACCATAGAGTCCAACCCTGAAAGAAAGAAAGAAAGAAAGAAAGAAAGAAAGAAAGAAAGAAAGAAAGAAAGAGGAGACCATAAGGGCTATCCTGTCTTAGAGCGAGTGCTAAAGAAAGAAGAGAGGGCCATCCAGTCCAATTCCCTTATAGATGGATGGATGGATGGTATATTGCTGGAAGAGACCATAAGGGCTATCCAACTGCTAAAGAAAGAAGAGAGGGCCATCCAGCCCAACTCCCTTATAGATGGATGGATGGACGGATGGACGGACGGACGGACAGACGGATGGACGGACGGACGGACAGACAGATAGAATATTGCTGGAAGAGACCGTTATGCAACTGCTAAAGAAAGAAGAGGGCCATCCAGTCCAACTCCCTTATGGATGGATGGATGGATAGATAGGTAGGTAGGTAGGTAGGTAGGTAGGTAGATAGATAGATAGATAGATAGATAGATAGATAGATAGATAGATAGATAGATAGATCGGTCAATCGATCGATCGATCGATAGATAGTATATTGCTGGAAGAGACCATAAGGGCTATCCTGTCCTAAAGAGAGAGAGAGAGGGAGAATATTAGAGCTGAAGGGGAATTCAAGGAGTAACCGATTCAACTCCCTTATAGATGGATAGATAGATAGATATGCAGTATCATATTACTGGAAGAGACTCCAAGGACTATCCAGACCAACTGCTAAAGAAAGGAGGACCATCTAGTCCAACTCCCTTATAGATGGATGGATGGTGGATAGATAGATAGATAGATAGATAGATAGATAGATAGATAGATAGATAGATAGATAGATAGATAGCATCATATTGCTGGAAGAGTTCCAAGGACCATCCAGTCCAACCCCTAAAGAAGGTAGAAAGGAAGGAACCACAAGGGCTATCCAGTCCAACTCTATAAGAGAGAGGTGGGGCGGGGGGGGGGGGGGATCTTGGAGCTGAAGGAGACTTCTAGGGCCAGTCCAATTCCATAAGAAGGATAGAAGATAGACAAAATGATTGAATCAAATTGCTGGAAGAGACCACAAAGCTCATTCAGTTCAATCCTGATAGATCAGTGGTTCTCAACCTATGGGT